CCGAAAGTGCTTCTGCCGCTGCTGCTGCTCTGATTATTATTCCACTTGTCACCAAGGTCGTGGTTCCCTGCTGGTGTCTCCTCCCCCCCACTGAGCGCTCGGTATCTCGGGGGCTTGCGTTTTCACTTGGGAGATTGAAGCCCCTGGTTCTGTGAGGTGGTGTCCAGGGTAGGGGGTGACGCGTCCCTGGACGAAGTTGCTGGCCCTTCCAGGGCAGAGATGCTAGGAAGACGCACCCTGGGCACAGACCCTGGCACACAGGAAGTGAGGCCGCCACATGCGGGCGGGGGCCGGGCAGCGGGCACTGCTGGGCCAGGGCAGGTGGGTGTTGCTCTCTGAGCTCAGCAGCTGTGTGGGGGAGCCAGCCCCCCAAGGGGGTAGAAGATGCCACACTGGGACTTCCGGTGCTGGAGTCGGAATCTTCCTCTCATCCTTCATCATTTCCCGCCAGCTTCCAAGGAGTCTCTGAAGAGAGATTCCACGGGAATCAGGTTTGTGAGCGCCCATCAGGGCTGGTCCTGGGGCCCGGCCCCATGTGGCGTCTCCCTCAGAAGAAATCCCTCACTGCATTCACGCCTCGGCCCCGATATAGCCTGCCTGCTGCCTCGCGCCTGGGCTCTTTGGCCATCCATCTGTCTGTCTGTCTGTCTGTCTGTCTGGGCTGACATTTCTTCCTGTCTTTGGGCCCCCACTGTGGCCAGAATGTGCTGGTCACACTGGCACTCCAGGCCCCAGACGCCGGGCCCAGGCACCCAGCCGTGCCGACATGGCGATTCTATGACCTGTCCCTGGGGTGTTGCTCTCTGGGTTACAACAAGCCCCGGTTTGCACCCCCACCCCAAGTGGATGCCCCGCCGCCTTTCCCACCATGCCTTGCTGTCCATGGCCCTCAGGCACCAGCCAGTGCCCGGGGCTGGGGCCTCCTGCCTGGCCGCGCTGTCCAGCAGCTATTCCTGGGCTTCCACACTCACTCACTCTCACTCTTCTTGTGCTTTTTCTCTTGCTCTTTCTCCTCTTTTTCTTGCTCTCTCTGTCTTCATCTCTCTCTCTCATTGTCTTTCACTCACTCTCACTCATTCTCTCTTACCTTTCTCACTCTCTTTGACTCGCTCTTTCATTCTCTCTTACTTTCCCACTCTCTGTCTGTCTCTGTCTCTGTCTCTGTCTCTTTCTCTCCTGCTGCCTCTCAGCCCCGCGTCCAGGTGCCTTTGTGTACTCCACGCCCAGGACCCCGCTCTTGTTCTTCCTGTCTGGTTGTCCGGGACCCAGCCCACGCCTTTCACGGCCGTATCCACATCACGCGCTTGAAAGCTGTTATCTCGTGTTCACTGGAAGCTCCTTTTCCAGCCCAGACTTGCACAGAACAGCTCTGGGCTCTGGCGCTTGGTCCCGTGGGCAGTTCAAGAACCAGGAGATCAGTTCACACTGCCCTTGCTGCCGCCCATCCCTGGGGGACCCCCCACCACCATCTCTGGGTACCCACCAGGACAGGCACACTCACTCTGTCCCCAGAGTGGCCCTGAGCTCCATGGAGATCAGAGATGGGGGTTCTTTCCAGCACCCCCTCCAGAGGCTCTGTCAACTGCTGTGGGGTGACCTCAGGTAGTCCTCCTCCTGCTGATCCCAGTTTGGTGGAGAAGCCCCCTCCATGCCTGGGGGGGTCCCGCGGTGCTGTGAGCCCATTTCCCCCTCACTCCCTCCACCCACTGCCTCCAGCTCCAGAACGCTGCTTTTGTTCCAGGTGCTGCCAAGCCCCTGAGAGGAAGCCACAGTGGGGGCCTTCAGGAGCACCCACCCCCCCACACCTCTGCCCCTGGTCCCCACTGGGCTCGCTTCAGTGACCCCTGGGGAGTTCCCCTCTGTGTCTAACTCAAACCTTTGCCAGACTCTGCTGTTCTCTCTGCAGCCTCCTGAGAGGGCAGCCAGGGACCGACACCAATCCAAAGCCCACTGGGAGGGCAGCTTCAGGCACCCGGGCAAGGTGGCCGGGAGAGACGCCGTCCTTTCATTAGAGGGAGGGGAAGCGGCCCCCTGGAGGCCAGCGTGGTTTGATATGTGTCAGACACAGGGTTGGCACACAGCAGGTCTCGGAGACATGAAGGCACCTGCATCTCTTTTCCTTTCCAACACGGTTCACAGCGGCCAGGGGCTGCATCTGAGCAGATAAATCATGGGGGTGGCACTGTCCCCCAGGGGAGACTTCTCCGAGCCCAGCTTGGGATAGACCAAATTGGGACGATGGACCAAGTTGGGATGAGGACAGGGGCTTGGCCCCCGCAGAGGCCCAAGGACAGTGTGGCCATAGGGCAGTGAAGGTTCTGGAGGGAGGGAGGGGCCAACAGGATGGATGACCCCGAACGGCCAGTGCGACAGGCGTACAGGCCTAAAGCGTAGGAAGTTTGACCCACTCTCATGGGCACTAAGAATCCTCATTGCTTCTTGAACTGGGAATAAAAGTGATTTTATTTTTTATTTTATTTTATTTTTTTTTTTATTAGTGAAACACCATGAAGCACAGTTATAGACTTATAAATTTTTGTGCTTGGGTTTCAGTTATACAGTGATCAAGTACCCGTCCCTCCACCAGTGCCCATCCTCCACCACCACGAGCCCCAGAATCCCTCCCACCCCCTATCCCCCCCAACCCACCGTGCTTCTGTGGCAGGGCATTCCCCCTTGTTCTCTCTCTCCTTTTGGGTCCTGTGTTTTGCAAGAGAGACATTGAGTGGCAATCATGTTTGGTCTATAGTCTACTTACAGTATGCTTCTCCCATCCTGGGAGGATCCTCACAACACCCTTTATTTGGTGTTCTCTTCTCTATCTGGGCTTCCTTTTCCCCTAGCATGTGTGTCTGGCCTCCAAGTCATGGAGCAAAATTCCTGGTACTAATCTCAGCCATTCCTGGGTGTTAGTCTCCCTTTTTGTTGCTTTATGTTCCCCAGATGAATGCAATCTTTCTGTGTCTATCCCACTCTTTCCGACTCATTTCGCTTAACATGATACTTTGCATGTAATACCATTTGTATGTAAATTTCATAACTTCATCTTTTCTAACAGCTACATAGTACTCCATTGTGTAAATGTACCAAAGTTTCTTTAACCAGTCATCTGTTCTTGGCCACTCAAGTTTTTTCCAGATTCTGGCTACTGTAAAGAGTGCTGCAATGAACAAACAAATGCAGATGTCACTTCGACTATACTTTTTTGCCTCTCTGGGATATATTCCCAGGAGTGCTATTGCTGGGTCAAATGGGAGATCAAATTCTAATCTTTTGAGAATCGTCCATACTGTTTTCCAAAAGGGTTGGACCAGCCAGCATTCCTACCAGCAGTGAAGGAGGGTCCCTTTCTCGCCACATCCGCGCCAGCATTGGTTGCTTTTGTTCTTGTGGATATGGACCAGTCTCTGTGGTGTGAATTGATATCTCATTGTTGTTTTGAGCTGCATCTCTCTGATGATTGTGATGTAGAGCATTTTCTCATGTGCCTTTTTGCCATTTGGATTTCTTCTTTGCGAACGTTTCTGTTCATTTCCTCGCCCCATTTTTTGATGGGGTTGGGTGATTTCTTCTTGTGGAGTTCAACCAGTACCTTGTATATCCTTGATATCAACCCCTTGTCGGATGTGTATTTGGTGAATATCCTTTTCCATTCTGTAGGCTCTCTTTGTATTTTGGTCACTGTTTCTTTTGAGGCGCAGAAGCTTCTTAGTTTAAGATAGTCCCATTTGTCTATCTCTGTTTTCACTTGCTTGGCCAGTGGCGTGACATCTTTGAAGATACCATTAGCTTCAATATCATGGAGGGTTTTGCCAACTTTGTCTTCAGTAAACATTATGGATTCCGGTCTGATGTTGAGGTCATAAATCCATTTTGATCTTACTTTTGTGCATGGCGTTAGGCAGAGATCTGAGCCCACTTTTTTGCATGTAACTGTCCAGTTTTGCCAGCACAATTTATTAAAGAGGCTTTGCCTGCTCCATTTCACTTTTCTTGCCCCCTTATCGAAGATTAGATGATCATATGCTTGAGAGGAGATTATATTTTATTTTTTGATGGTACAGTTGGCTAGAGCACAGCAGGTAGGGCGTTTGCCTTGCATGCGGCTGAACCGGCTGACCCAGGTTCGGTTTCTCTACCCCTCTTGGAGAGCCCCGCAAGCTACTGAGAGTATCTCGCCCCCATGGCAAAGCCTGGCAAGCTCCCCATGAGGTATTCGATATGCCAAACACAGTCACAACAAGTCTCACAATGGAAACGTTACTGGGCCCGCTTGAGCAAACCGATGAATGATGGGAGGACAGTGCTACAGTACTATGGTACAATATGATTTCTCGGGTCAGGGGACAGGAGGGCCCTCTGGAGGGGCTGCCTGCCTGAGCTCGTGGGGGGTCGCTCATGGGGCCTGGAGAGCTACCGTGTGCAGGGAGGGCCAGGGGCAGGATCTCCGCTGGGCACTGGGCAGGTCTGGCGGGGGCAGGAGGGAGCTGGGAGTGGGGGAGTGAGTGTGGTTTGACCCCAGTAGACAGCCCACAGGCCCCTTTCTCTCCGGCCTCTTTCCCTCCATCTCCTTTGGCATGTTGCGGCTCCTTGAGGGAAGGTGGCTCTTGGTGTGCACAGCCACTGACCCATGCTATCCATCCGAGATTTTGTCCGCACATCAAGATTTGCCATTGGTCTATTGCTGAATCTCCCAGAGCGCTTTGACTCTACCCTGGAGACAGCACGAGCCTCTTAAACATTGCTGACCACTGCTACTGACTCACAGGGTCGCATTGTGTGAGTGTGTGTGTGTGTGTGTGTGTGTGTGTGTGTGTGTGGTGGGGGAGTGTCACATTTGCGCTATCATGGTGAGGACGAGGATCTCAGCTCCCTGCTGCCCAAGTCCCTCCTACAAGCCCCCCATTCTGGACCGAGGCGGGAGGTTTGGGGGGGGGGCGTCCAGCCTGGCCATGCTATGCTGACCCGCGTCACTCTCCCCTTCCGTCCCCTCCCCGCAGATTGCTCTTTTCCAAAGTCAAGCTGGAGTCCCTGTGCCGGGGCCCGGACGAGGCGCTGCTCACGTGCAAACACATGCTGCAGATTTGGAGGTCCTGCTACAGCCTCAGCAACCCCAGGTGAGGGGCCAGACGCCCACCCCAGCCCGGCCGCCGCCCCGTCACCCGGGGGGTCTCGAAGCACTGCTGGATTGCCCGGGGTCTTGGTTTACTTTTTCTCTTTGTCTTTGTGTGTGTTGTTTGGGGGCCACACCCGGTGGTACTCAGAAGTCACTCCTGGCTCTGCGCTCAGGGACCACCCCTGGCTGTGCTCCGGGGACCGTGTGGGATGTTGGGGACTGACCCCGGGTTGTGTGAGGCCCTACCCGCTATGCTGTCACTCCGGCCCTGTCCGGCCCTTGTGTTCACAAGGGTCACACGCAGGGCAGCTGGTGCGGTGGGGACAGGTCCCACGACCCCGGGATCCATCTCAGGCCTGGCCTGTGCTCTGCCATTGAGCTTGCTCCGGGCTCCCTCCCGGGAGCTAATGGGACAACTGAGTCCAGAGTCTCTGCTGTGACTTTCATGAATGGGCTGTGGGTGGCTGCTGCTGATTTTCTGGATTTTTCTGCCCATCCCTGGCTTCGCTCTTTCGCCCATTCCTACCATCTGCTCTGTGACTTGTTCCAAAAGGGTCTCCTCCAGTCATATTGAAAAGACCCACGTAAGCAATAGGCTGTGTCGATCACAGCTTACAAGGAAGAGGAGAAATTGGTCTTGGGGAGCCTGGGGGATGTGGGGACCGTGACCTGGTAGCATGGCATTAGCCTTGCACCTCCGAGGTCCTGGGTTCAAGTCCCGAACCCTCTTGCACCCCCCCTGCCCGGCCTCTGGGAAATAGAAAGGCCCAGCGTGATAAAGTCGGATTTCCAAAAAGTTAAAAGCTGGAACTCAAACAGGTCCAAAATCATGATCCTTTGGCAAAGGTTTTGCTCCCCTCGTTAACTCAGGAGCGAAACCGCAGAATAGAACTCCCGTCCCGCCAAGAGCCGGGGAACGGGGCTGGCAGATGGGAAGATGAAACGACTTGTGGCTTGAGGTGCGGGGTGACCACGACTTACCTTCACCCGGGTGGGGCTGCCTTTCCCACCAGGAAGACACGGCTCCTGGGCACAGACAGAGCTCATTGCCATGGCTCCCGTTGCCCCAGGCAGCCCCTGCCTCTGAGCATGAGGGGACAGCCCTGCCAGTCAGAGTCCACCAAAGGTGCCAATGCCCAGAGGCAGAGACCCCGGGGTGGGGGAGGGGAACGGTGGCTCCCCTGGCCGACCCCAGCCAACATGGCCTCCTCCTGTGGCTATTTGGGGTCTGGGGGATGTTCCCAGCTGTGTTTCGGCTGCTGCGTGGGCCACCCCTACGGCCAGTTGCTGAACAGGCCAGCAATCAGTGTATTCCAACTGCAGCTCTGGCCACACATCCTGGCTAGGTGTGAGGCCCACCGGGCATGCTGGCGAGTCCAGAGCTTCCTGACCACCTCCGGGTGTGACCCTGACACCCCAGGTCCCCCCGGGTATAATCCTGGAGGCCCTGGTACCACAGGGCCCCATCCTCACTACAGCCTTGGTCCCAAACAGTGCACCGGCCAGCCAGGGTGGTCAAGCATCTCTTGGGCCGCCCCTTTGCCCCCCTGGGCACGGCTTGGGTGCTCCTGCTCCCGCCACCACAGAAAGAGCCAGCCAGAACGTGGCCCAGACCACACGCAGGGACGGGGAGGTTCCTGGGGACACTGCCGATCTGCAGAGATCAGGTGCAGAGGGCAGGCAGGGGTCCGTGTCCAGCGTCACGGCCCTCCCGTTTCTACCTGTTGAGAGCCAGGGCCCCTCCAAGGCTCCGGGACCTGGTGCTGAGGTCACCACAGCTAGAGCTGGCACAACCTCTGTCTCAGAACCGCTGTCCTGCCAGGAGACGCTGGCACCCGTGGCACTGACCAGGACCCCCTTCCCAGCCATGCGCACTGCAGCCCTCTGCCCCCTCGTGAGAAGAGGCTGGCCACTCCCTTTGCGGGGGGCCTTGTTTGGATAAATAAGATGTTTTAATTAAACATAAAAAGGAGGGGTCAGAGCCATAGCACAGTGGGGAGGGCGTTTGCCCTGCACGTGGCCAACCCAGGTTCAATTCCCAGCATCCCATATGGTCCCCTGAGCACCGTCAGGGGTAATTCCTGAGTGTAGAGCCAGGAGTAACCCCTGAGCATCACCGGGTGTGACCCCCCCCCAAAAAAAAGGAAAAACATAAAAAGGAAATGCTCCCTCCCTTGGTTTGCTCCAGCAAAGCGCGATGCCTGTTTCTGTGTCCTGGCAAACGGGCACGCCAGGAGCAAGGTGGGGGGGGGGGGGTGGTTCTCTGCTCTCCAGGCGGGTGGAGAGCAGAGAACCCGAGCGCCCTCCCACACGGGGCCCACCGTGGAGAGGAGCAGCCGGGTCCCTCTCCCGGGCTCCACACCTCTCCCACCTCCCCGCGGTCCCTCCCACTTAGCAACCCAGAATATTGGATGTGAGAAGAGCATCGCGGATTGGAACAAGCTTTAAAAATACCCAACCAGATGCCGGGCCGCGTCCCAACGAAGGCTCCTCCCAGGTGGCCAGGCAGGAGGTCCCACCCAGAGCCAGGGGAGTCCCCTCCCCATCACCGAGCTCTATGTCTTCCCCCGGGGGTAGCAATATCCGTTTCTTCTGGAGACTTCGCCGGAGCGCAGGTGTCTCCCATCCTCCCTCTGCTGGGGCCTGCACCCAGGGCCGCTCCACAGCAAAATAAAGGGCAGCTCCAGGCTGGCTGTCTGGGTGCCCCCCCCCCCGCCCCCGCCCCTCAGCCCACACTGGGCTTTAGGACCCGGTGAGGATGACTGCGTGGGGAGCACCCCCCCACACACACATGCACACACACACACACACACGCTCACGCGCATGCACGCACGCACACCTTTAAAAACAGGGAAGAGCCACCAGAAGCTGAAGGAAAGAGTCTGCCCAGCCTCTGCTCACCTGCCAGGGACCCCAACACCCCTCCCTTCCCGCCCCTGTGCAGAGAATGGGAGGATTGAGAGGAAGGGCATGGGGACACAACAGAGCACCCCCCACCTCCATCCCTCCCGCAGTTGTCTGGGAGGGCTGCAAGTCTTCTGGGGGCTTTCTCCCAAGGGTGCATTTGGCACAGGTGCTTGTTGCATGTCCCTGCCCCGCCCCCAAGCTCGAGCTACTGATTCGGGTTGGGCATCTTCCCAGTCTACCCTGTCTGGCCTCTCTCTCTCTCTCTCTCTCTCTCTCTCTCTCTCTCTCTCTCTCTCTCTCTCTCTCTCTCTCTCTCTCTTTCTCTCTCATAAACCTCGTGCCCTGAATCTTGCATCCTGCTGCACAGTACACGTCTCCCAGACGTGTCTGTCCGCACAGGAGGGGGCCCACGTGGTGGGCCCGGCACTGGATCCTCCTTCCCATTTCCCCTGTCCAGACCCCTCTGCTGGCCCCACTGACCGGAAGGGCCTCCCTGGCAGGTGTTCCTGGCAGACTTAAGAGCTAGACGGACAGAGAAGAGGTGAGGCCACCAGTCTGTGAAGGTCACCAGGTGTCCGAGCTCGACAGTGTCCCAGAGGGAGAGGGAGGGGGGAGAGAGGAGACTCGGGGGCTAGCCGGCCACCCTTTGCCCCTCCTGCCACTTTCTCTGGCAAATCTCAATTGGTTTAGGCTGTACCATGTAAATGAAGATCTGCCAGAAAAAAAAAATCAGGCAATAAACATTGCTTGAAGCATCCAGAAAATTACCAACCAGCCGCGACATTCACAGCAGGAACAAAAGTGTCTCCATCCTGAGCCATTAGTTGTTGCTTGTGGAACTGTTTTCTACAGCAGCTATGGCAAGACACATGCGAAATACAGGTTCTGGGCCCGCTGTGGGGGGCAGATCCCATGCCATGACCAGTGGCCATGGGTGGGTCTCACGGCCATTCACACTCTCCTGGAGGAGAACGATCCTTCTCTGCTTCCTCAGACCCCCAGGGGTGAGGCTTCACCCAAAGGGACTCCTCGCTGGCGCTGGTGTCAGTGGACTCCAGGGCCCATGCACACGGCATTCGGCCTGGCCCTCTTGATGCTTGGAATATTCTGGCAAAACTCACTTCGGCATCCTCAGAGTTGGTCCATGGGAAAACCAGGACAACTCTGCTCTCCCCAGCCCAGGGTGTCCTGGAAGCGGAAGGAAGGAAGGAAGGAAGGAAGGAAGGAAGGAAGGAAGGAAGGAAGGAAGGAAGGAAGGAGGAGGGGAGGAAGGAAAGGAAGAAGGAAGTGAAGGAGGAAGGGAGGGAGGAAGTAAGGAAGGAAGGAAGGGAAGAAGGGAGGAAGGAAGGGAGGAAGGAAGGGAAGAAGGAAGGGAAGGAGGAAGGGAGGAAGGATGGAAGGAAGGAGGAAGGAAAGGAGAGAGGAAGGGAGGAGAGAGAAGGAAGGAAGGAAGGAAGGAAGGAGGAGGGGAGGAAGGAAAGGAAGAAGGAAGGGAAGGAGGAAAGGAGGGAGGGAGGAAGGAAGGAAGGAAGGGAAGAAGGGAGGAAGGAAGGGAGGAAGGAAGGGAAGGAGGGGAGGGAGGAAGGAAGGGAAGAAGGAAGGGAAGGAGGAAGGGAGGAAGGATGGAAGGAAGGAGGAAGGAAAGGAGACAGGAAGGGAGGAGAGAGAAGGAAGGAAGGAAGGAAGGAAGGGAGGGAGGGAGGGAGGAAAGGAGGGAGGAAGGGAGGGAGGGAGGACGGGCGGGCCGTTTGGGGTGGGATTAATGGAAATCTGCATGTATTTTTATTTTGTCTTCTGCTCGGAGACTTCTATTGTTCTCCAGTTGTGGAAATAATTAATAGCACAGTTTTCCAGAAACATGAACCCGAGGATGCAGTAAGTACAGGCTGACAGCGTCGGTGCCAGCGTGCGCCTGCCCCTGCGTCCCCTGGCGTTCTCTAACTGCAGCCCTGGACGTGGAAATTGCAGCCTGCAGCCTGGGTTCAGTTTCATACGGAATCTGAACTCGGCCCACTTTTAGCAGCAGCTGCACAGAGGAAGGAGATGTCTCCTTTCTTAAGGAGTCTGCACATCTTCAGGAGAAAATAGCATCCTCAAAGTCCCCTCCCCGCCGTGGGGAGAGTCAGTGGTTTCGAAGAAAAGCAGTTCGAGGCTCAGACCTCAAGACAGGTTTGAGGGTTTGAGTCTTGGGGAGTCTCTTTGCTGGAGCATCGTGGTAGAGGGGGAAGACGTTTGCCGTCGCTTTTTCTCACAGCCTTCTCAGGGTCAAACGGGAGGGCCTGAGAGAGAGAGAGTGTGTGGTAGGCCAGACGCTTACCTGGCATTCACCCAACTTGGGTTTCATCTCTAGTACCCCATGTGGGCCCCTGAGCCCCGCCAGGAGTGATCCCTGGGCATAGGGCCAGGAGTCGGCCCTGGGTACCGCAGGTAGGGCCCGAAACAACCGAACCAAAAGACCATCTGAGCTATGGGCCTCTAACTCTTTTATTCCACCCCCTACTCCCTGGGGTGGTTCCCTGGACCAACAATGCCAAACCTGATGTCACCAGCCTGTTCAGTCTGAACAGGTTGGAGTGGGGGACACAGCAGGGGTCATAGCGGGCCTGGACCTGGCGCCCAGTGGAAGCCTCCTGTGTCCCTCAGCCCTTCTCATCCCCTCTTGGGGCCAGCTGGGGGTCCTGCCTGTGCACGCCGTCTTCGGTAGTCCAGAAGTAGGGGTACGGCCCCCGAGGTGCGGCGGAGATGCTTGTCCCCGGGGCGGGACCAGTGAGGACCTGGCTGGGATCCCCCTTTGACAAATCAGGCCCAGGGCGCCCCACGCTCCACGGCACCCCAGAATCCTTGCAGGCTGCCCTGACACTGGGGTTTCTGGAGTTCGGGGGGGTTCTGGGTGGATGGGGCTCGACAGCGGGGAGGGCTTCAAAGGCCCGGGGTGGTGGGGAGTTCCGGTTCACAGAGCCACCCCAAGCCCGGCTGCAGGTGGTGACTGACCGCAGGGTCCGTGGGTGGGCGTGCGCCCGTGCCAGGGATCCGGGAGAGACCCCCTGGCAGGCCCCCGAGTGGAAGGTGCCGGGACAAGGGGACCTGAGTCTGGACTCTGTTTCACAGTGACTCTGGTCGTGGGAGCAGCCTGCTGGACAGAACCATCGCCGACAGGCGGCAGCTCAACACCATCACCCTGCCCGACTTCAGTGACCCTGAGACAGGTGAGCAGGGAGGTCCCGGGGGGCAGTGGCTGTGCTCCCCACAGTGGCCCTGGCAGCCCTGCCTGTCCGCTGGCCCTAGACCCCAGACCCCAGGCCAGGGCCGCGGAGAGTCCCACAGAGTCCTGGTGACAGCCGTAGACTGTCTCACAGACCAGCCGCACCCCACGCTGCCCCGGCCTCCCTTGGAAGCTGCTTCTGTCGTCCCACGGGGTGGCCCCAGGCCCCACCCACACTCTGGCTCCTCAGAAGGAGCTTGTGGCTCTTTCTGCTGCCGGGGACAGCCCAGCACCTGACCAAGTCCTCTGATAGCTGGGGAGTAGCCCTGAGGCTCACAGAAGGGGGGCAGAGGGTCAGTGGGGACAGGGTCAGTGGAGGATGGAGGGTTAGTGGGGGACAAGGTTAGCAGGGGACAGGGTCAGTGGGGACAGGGTCAGTGGAAGATGGAGGGTCAGTGGGGGACAGAGGGTCAGTTCATTGGGGGACAGAGGGTCAGTGGGGGACAGAGGGTCAGGCCAGTGGAGGACAGGGTCAGCAGGGGACAGGGTCAGTGGGGACAGGGTCAGTGGAGGATGGAGGGTCAGTGAGGGACAGGATCAGTGAGGGACGGAGGGTCAGTGGGGGACAGAGGGTCAGTGGGGGACAGAGGGTCAGGTCAGTGGGGGACAGAGGATCATGTCAGTGAGGGACAGGGTCAGCAGTGGACAGGGTCAGTGGGACGGGGAACTGGGGGAGCGCAGGGCGCAGGAGCCTAGGGCCCTGGGGCCACCCACTGAGAGGTGCAGCCCTTGCCGGGCACATGCCACTTACCTGACAGCTCCCGTGGGCTGAGGCTGCAGGCCAGGCAGCCCATGTCCGAGGTCCAGTCCAGCCGCCCTTCCTGCAGGAAACGGGGTGTCAGGTGCAGGACACGGCTGAGCCTCGGGGTGGGGTGGGTGGGGGAAGCTTCCCACACCCAAGACTCAGGCTGACTCAGAGCGGCCACCCAGGTCCCTAGCCCAGGCTCCCGTGAGGGTGACCGAGCCTTCCCCCCAGCATTTCCCTGGGCCCCGAGGGCAGGCCCCAAGTCTCCATTCTCCCAGGGTCCCGGGGAACCTTGACCTTCTCAGATGTCAGAGTACAGGTAGGGCTGAGACCCCTCGTGAGTGGGGGTCTGGGGAGTCTGTCCTGAGACGCAGACCAGGCCACCACAAAGGTCCTGTACAGACCCCTGATTCAGGAGATGCTGCAGAGTTTTGTCCCATCCTCCGTGTTCCCAAAGAGAGTCACTTTTTTTTTTTTTTTTTTTTTTGCTCTTTTGGGTCACACCTGGCGATGCATAGGGGCTGGCTGTTGCACTCAGGAATCACTCCTGGCAGTGCTCAGGGGACCATATGAGATGCTGGGAATCGAACCTAGGTCGGCTGCGTGCAAGGCAAACGCCTTACCCGCTGTGCTATTGCTTCAGCCCCGAGAGTCACTTCTATTTCCTCTCAGTTCACCCTAGTGGGGTGCAAATCAGCCCCGATCTCTGCTGCTCGGCACCAGTCGGGGTGCTTCCCACGGCCTCGGTAGCCCCAAGTGGCCCCCAGAGCCCTTGTCAGTGCGGCTTCCTCCTCACGTGTTCTCTCTGGCCCTCGGCATCCAACCTGAGCCTGGCCAGCGTCCCTCGTGCCGCAGCTCCTGTCCACGCGGCGCTGTGGATAGGGGCTAATTTTGGCCATGCGGCACTGCCCACTCAGACAGCATCTGGGCTGCAGGGAAAAAGAGAAGCAAGACCGAGCTGAGAGGTAGGGAAATTTTTAAAAAGTTCCAAATCCAATCAAGTAAATTTGAGATGAGTGGTGGCCCCGGGGGAACCCAGGGCTATCTCAGGCCTGGGCCCTGCCGTGCCGCCCTGCTGAACACCCTGTATTTTTTGTGTGTCTGTTTAGCCATCAGGGATTGATCGATCCCAGGGCCTTGTGCCATTAAGGCGTGAACTCTAAAGGCCAGAGGTGGGGCTGGAGAGATAGCACAGCAGGTAGGGCGTTTGCCTTGCACGCGGCCAACCCGGGTTCGATTCCCAGCATCCCATATGGTCCCCTGAGCACCGCCAGGAGCAATTCCTGAGTGCAGAGACAGGAGTAACCCCTGTGCATCGCCAGGTGTGACCCAAAAAGCAAAAATAAAATAAAATAAAAATAAAGGTTAGAGGTATCCCCATGAATGGAGGCAGCCTCAGAGCTAGTGACTGACAGAAGCCACCATTGATTTGGGGGCTTCTCTGCTTGGTGAAGCCCAGGCTCTGCTGGTTCTGGGGCCTTTGTTTTAGGGGCCCAGAACCAAATGTAATTCTGCTCCCCTCTCATATGCAGTTTCCACTTGCTCCACGGAGGTGCATGCCATTAATTCCCCTCTCCCTACCCCAGCCTCCAACCAGGAACCTTTCCGGCTCCGCTGCCCTGTCTTTGGTTTTCATAGCCTACATTTAGGCAGACCTCATGCATCACACTTATGAAATTTTCACTCTCCAGGTCCACTGAATGAGAACTTTCCTTTGAAAACACAAATAGAGCCACGATTCACCAGGAATTGTGGCTCTCTCTTTGTTTTTTTTTTTTGATTCAGGGTCACTGCAGGACAGGCCCCCAATGTTTGATTTGGGAAGTGGTCCGTCAGTTGGGAATGCAGTTTTCTGTCAGTGAAGGTCTGCGGGATAATTCAAGGGGAACCCCTGTCTGTAGGCTCTGGACTGGCTGACTCCACCAGGGGTAATGGAGCGCTGTTGGTTCTGTTCAGTGAAATGGAGAGCTAGAGAGACCCCCATAAAGAACATGATTTCCCTTCCAACCTCCCCTCGGGAGCCCTCCCCCTGCCATCTCCCCACCCCCCGCCCAGCCCCATCATCCAGTAGGTTCCAACTCTCTAAAAAAGAGGACTCGAGTAGAAGGACAGCCTTATAACTTTGAAGCTATGAATCATTGTGTTTTTCCCCCCAGGGGGGGCGGTGGGGGAAGAGGGGGTGTATGTGGATCCTAAAATAAAGGACGAAAAAATTTTTTTTCTTCCTTTTGCCTTCAAAACAGGATGTGGGGTTATCTTTAATTGTTGGTGGATATTACTGGACAGCTATCCAACACACCCGCACGTGTTTAGTTCATCTTAGCTGGGAACTATTTAATGCCCCTGGAGGTCTTCCTGGTGCCCTATATTTCTCCCGTTGTAAGAATCCAAGGTGGCAGACCACCACGAGCCCATGACCACCATCAGGCCCCCTAGAAAGCTTAGCACCCCATTTCCTAATGATGGCCCATCACATTCCATCACATCTCCACCCCTGCACTTGGGGGGGGGGGGGGGTTGGCGGGAGAGGGGGAGGCTTCATTGGCAGGCAAGTTTGATTATAAGTGCTTCTCCTAAAAAAAAAAAAAAATCTAGGAAAAGTTGAGTCCGATCCCCTCTCCCGCTGAAAAGCAAATGGTTTTCTGGAGAATGCCCCGGATAGCCTGGGCTACATCTCTGGCCTGATTGTGAGGGCTCGTGCTCAGAATCAGGCCCAGGTCAGATCTGGATTACCCTTAATCCACGGCATGGCCCCAGAACAATGAAATGACCACAGGGAGGCCGGGGAGAAATAGCCAATTTGTTTTCTTTGAAAAGCACTTGTATTCGATGATTGTAGAAGGAAGATTGGGTATCAATCATGACCTCATTTTCTTTGCAGCCTATGTGAGTATATGGAAAGCGAGTTTATTCTTTTGTGTTTCGAAAGTTTGGTTTTTGTTTTGCCTTTATCCTTTTCTGTGTTTTTTTTTTCTCTTTCGCTTTTTTAGTGTCAGACTCCTCCTCCTCCTCCTCTTCTCTCTCAAGAACCGAGTCTCCTCTCCACCTGTTTGTATCTTCTCATCTTCATTCTCAAACCTTTGTGTGGCCCCCTGCCGCCCACTCATTCAGTGACCCAGGCCCCCGCCGGCAGCCCTCTCTCTGTAATCATGGTTTATGGTTTTGCTTCCTTTCTTGTTTGACCTGCTTCTTTGCCCGATGTTGGCTTTCTGATAATCTTCCTAACTGATAAGCTGGGTATGGAACGCCATCAAATTTAACACAGGGAAGAGGGGGGTAAAAAAAAAAAAGCCTTGCTAATTTGAAAATCCCAAAGCTATTTGGGGCAAGAGAGCTGAGACTACAGATATCGGTGCCCACATGCCAGCCTCCTCTTTGGAACGGAAAGAAAGCTCCAAGATCATGGGGTACTTCTGTTCTTTCCCAGAGCTGATTCAAAGGCATGCCAGCCCCTCCCCAAGAGAAAGAAAGAGAAAGGCAAACTGTAGTGTTTTTCAAGTAATGATCTAGTCCTAAATATTTCTAGCTTCCATTTCAGAAATGAAATCAAGTATATAGTCACCCCAGGAAGCAAAGTCACATCCCCTTGATACATGTGTCTTAAACTCCATGTCGTTCTGTACCCTGGGGTTCTCTCAGCTGCAGAGGCCCGGATTAGGGTCCAGAGACGGGATCTCGAAGATGCCCTGTGAGTCCAGAGCTGTGTCTAGGCCCTGTATGTTGAGGGCCACGGCCATGGGCTGCTTTCTGTCTGCAAGGCAAGGAAGAAAAAAAAAATAGGGTTTGTGTCATGAACCAGGGCAAGGAGATAAAATGATATTTTAATCTAATTGTGTTCTTAAAACTGGTACAGAAAATGTGAAAGTCGGCTTTTGGACGCTCAGGCCAATGTTTTGTTTTAAAATACAAAAACAATACAAAGATCCTTGTATTTAATGAAATGCGGGTTGATAAAGTCCCTAAATGGGCCCTAAGTACTCTTCTCCCTGGGGAACCCACCCTTGGTGGGGGTTTTTTTTCCCCTCATTTATTTAATGTTTGCTTTATCACAGCACTGCCAGAACATGTAATCTCTGGACCCGCAGTTTATAAAGGGCTCATCTTCGTTCCAGATGCTCTGCTCTACGCGGAACAAAAACCCATGCACAGAGCTGAGCCAGAAAGAACCATTTTCCACAAAGCGCCGTCTCTCAAGGGGCTGCCTGGCTAAGCCCAGCACCCACACAGAGGCCGGGCTGCCCTCTGTAACGGTTCCATCCGCACCACCTGACCTGGAAGCACTCTGAGTTCCCCTAGCTGCCGCTGCCGTGTTCCAGACTTGATTTTGACAGCTGGGCCCAGCTTTATGGAAGATGGAAATAAGGCTCAGAGCCAGGAGAGATAGTACAGGGGACGAGGCTGGTTCTGGTCCCAGCACCATATGGTCCTGTGAGCATCTCTAGAGTGCAGCCCAGAAACCCTTGGGTACCACTGGGCGGGGCCTGCGAGGACCTGCATCCTAGGCGCTCCAACCTAGTTAGCCAAGAATCCCCAGGTCCCCTGGGTCTCCCCAGCAACCTTAGAAGCTGCCACCACCTCTCCACCCGCAACAAGAAAGAAGAAGAAAAAAGTTCATTTATGTCATCTTTAACCCATTTCTTAAATATTTTCCTGCAGTCCAACACAGAGGGTTTGGTGCCAATTTTCTGATTTCTCCAGATTTTTTTTTTCCTTTTGACACTTTTCTTTTGCCTGGTTTTATTATTCTCTTAGAATGGGAGCTAAATGTTCTAGAATAGGCTGTGTTCCCCTTGCCCCTCCTGATGGCACAGCAGAGCCCCTGCCTGGCCTGGTTGTTTGTGTTCTGTGGAACGATGACTCATCCTCCTCCCTCCAGACCACCTGGCCAGCCAACCAGGTGTGTGAACCGAGCCGGCAGCACCGGAGAATGTTCTTTTCCCTCCAAAGTGAGCAGATGCAGTTTGAGAAGAGGGTTGCGTACCATCCATTACTGGTACAGGTAGACTTTCTTGCATAAAATCAGGCCTGATTGGGATCCCCCAATACACAGACAGGACTGGAGTGTTCCTCCAACTTCCCCTGTCATCCTTGGACCGGGAAGGCATGAAATCTAGCCCAGCCCTGCCAACTCTTGCAATCCCGATTAGAGTTAATGTTTGGAAAAATCTGAAAAGTGCTTGTTTGATTCTCCCCCCCACACACACATGCCCTTCCCTTGCCTTCGGAATTTCCGGCCTTGGAAGCAAAACACATCACAGGAATTGATTGGCTTTCCTATGCCCTTGTGGGGCAAGTGTTTCATGGGAGAGGGGAATGCCCACTGGGCCTCTCTGGTTAAAAAAAAAAATCATTGTTAGCATCACTCTTGAGTTGAAATCTGAGTCCAGACTTACAGTTGGAAGGTTATCGGAACTCTCTTTGCTTTCTGGCGCCTTACTTTTGATTTGTCAAATGCTGTGTTTCTCCGTTTTAATTTTTGGTTTGATTTGTTGTTCCAAGGCAACTCTCCAGAAGCATACTTTCATGGTTTTCCCTCCCTTTTTTCAGTTAGTAAGTAGTTTACCAATCTCTCTCTCTCTCTCTCTCTCTCTCTCTCTATTAACCTGTCGAGGGCTGCCCAACCCCACCCCACCCCACCCCCACCCCCCGCCTCGCCCCATCACCCTTCCCTCCACCTTGGAACATGTGCTGTGGGTGTTGACCGTGGGAATGTCGCCGTGGCGTGGGCATGAGCTGCCACTCGCTTGCCCTATCCACCCCTGGCGGTCCTAATGCTTCTCGTCGGCTATGGGGCCCCCCGCCGCCGAGGAGGCAGTACGGTCTGTGGAGGACTACTGTAGGCGGGCAGGATTCCCCCCCCCCCCCCGCAGGCCGGGGGGGTGCAGAGGGCTGGGCTCAGCAGTGCAAAGCCCCCAGCAGGGTGGACAGGCTGTAAATTCGGGTGGGGCTGGGGACTGGGGCCAGAGCCAGTCCGATCTGGAAATTCCTTTCTAGTTCAACCATGACGGCTACGACGAGAGAGAGACGGGGATAATAATTCTCCTTTAAAACAAGCTGAGCAGACAGCAGGAAGCTCACACTGGAAGGCGCCTAAGCAGGTGGTCCTCCCCCCGCCCCCCCCCCCGCCCCCCGCCCCGACACATGCACACACCCAGGGTTAGTGGCTAAGCCCCTGGATTCTCTCAGGTCCCTGTGAGAAATGGTGCACCTTGGGCGAGTTCAGAGAAGGATTCGAGAAATCAAAGCCTTGTTCCATCTGGACTCCATTCCCAGGGTCCTTTCAGGCTCCCTGCATCCTGGGACCAGTGTTAACCCACCCCCCCTCACCACTGCCAGCTGCATTTCTGGAAAGGCTGGTGGTGTATCTGGACACCAGTGCTGGCCAGTGAACTGAGTCCTGTAGGGGGCCGACCCCCCCACCCACTCTGAAATCCGGCTCAGCCTCCACGTGGCCTGATTTCTGCCTTTGAAAAGTCCCGTGTGGGCATTAGCATCACATTTGGCTTCTTCAGAGGACCAGGAAAAAAAAATTGTACTGCCAGCAGGATCCAGCTTTCAGAGACATTAAAAAGGATTTGAAGGGGAGTGGGGGGGGGCAGATCTGAAGTTTAGAAAGTTGCATTAAAATCTGCACGCAGCTTATCTAGCTCCAGTGAGGCCTGAGTATGGATTTGAGAGATGCCAAAGTTTTCCCTGAAGCGACTCCACTCTCCCAGGTCAGGAAATCCACAGAGGAAACCCGGGAACGGGCTCCCTCTCCCCAGGAGGCAAGAAATCATCTGCTTTCCTTGTTGCCTTCTAGCCCTCTGCAGCTTAAAGACACTTTTTTTTGATTAGGTCCGTGGCAGCCTGCAAAAAAAAATAAATTAAAAAGGTGGTCCTCAGGTCTCTGCTGGTAACATCACAGCCCGCGATGCCAGGCTTCCGGCAGCATCTTGCGATGTCCCCCATGATGCTCTGTGTCAGCCAAACGGAGAAGCAGGGGCCCTCGGACACTGCCCAGGTCACGCGGGGTGCACACATGGCGCTGGCCCCACTGTTCAGTGCTCGAGCGCCCTGGAGAGCCGGAGGTGGCACAGCTGGATGACATGGACGCAGCTGCCCTGTGTCCCGGGGGCTTCAGCACCCCCAGGCCCTGCTCCCAAGTGCTCCCCCCGAGATGCTTCAGTGCATGAGAGACCAGAATGCCACCTGGGGCGCAGGGGACTCTAGCCCCTGTCGATCCCCTGCACCCTCCTGTCCCCTCCACGTTTTCCGACTAAGACAGGGAAGGGCAAAGCAGCTGGCCAGCTTTTGGTTTTTTGGTTTTGGGGTGTTTTTTGGGTTTTATTTTTGTTTCGTTTTGTTTTTGTTTTTGTTTTTGTTTTGGTGAAAGTCCATTACTTCTGGAGCCATTGCTCTACCTGCAGGAGTGAGTGCAGGAGGGGGTGGGCGTGTCAGGCTGCCAGCCGATGGGGCAAAGGAGGTCCCCAGGGGTGAGGCCCGCAGGCCCCTGACGGCTTGTCCATCAGCCGCCTCCAGGAACCAGGACCGCGGGAGGGGAGGCGGGCGTCTACCGTGTAGTCCCTCCAGAAGGTACTGTCTCCGGGCTGGGGCCCTGCTGCCCCCCCCCCCAGCTGGCTTCTCCCCGCATGCCCCAGCCCCGCTGCCCTCCACGCTTCCGAGTGACCACCTGGCCCTGCCAAGCTCCGCATGCCCACCACCGCTGACCACGTGTCCCCTGCTTCCCGCCGCCGCACCCTGTCCCCCTCTCGGAGGAGCCCCGTGCTGGCAGTCCCCACCCTCTGCTCGCGGGACGGGGCCCCGCTGTCCAGGGTGCCCGGCCAGTGTCATTCCTCCCTCTCCCACCCACTGAAAACGGAAACGCATCCACCCTCGTGGCAACACCCTGGGGAGGGACCCAGCTAGCAGGAGCCCCCACTGTCCAAGAGAGTTGGGCCGGAGTGGACACGCTGGTGGGCCTGTGAGGAAGAGGGGAGGGATAACACCCACAGGGCTCGCAGGACGCAGGGCCAGCCCTTCCCACCCACCCCACTTCCCCCATCTTTGGAAGAGCAGGACTGCCGCCAGCCAGGGTGGGCTGGAGAGATGTGGGGGTAAGGGTGGAGGGGGGAGAAAAATGGGCATGTGCTCGCCCACCTCTGCTCCCCCTTCCAGCCTGACTGTCATCGTCTCCCCCCCCACACCACCCAGACCCCCAGGGCCCTGAGCACAGGGGCAGGGCCCGCGGCCAGCTGCAGGGGTCCGATTGTCCTCCCTGAGGTCAGTCTGGACGGAGACATTACAGAGAGAGCTTTGTCCCTGGGATTGTGGCGACGTATTCAGGGTCCTTGTTTCTTCTGGATTGCTGACACCCCCTCTCCCCTTCTAAGAACCCTCCTGTGGATGACCGCGGATCCTTCATTTCAGAGCTGGAGGGAAGGGGGGGCAGTGACGCCCTCCTTTGCTGAGAAACAGGAAGTGGGGAGGGGGGTTCCACGGGGGATAGGATGGGGAAGGGTCTGTGCCCTGCCGCCTCAGCTGGAGGCTGAGAGAAGGTGGGAGACGGGAACCACCCCGGGGCTGGAGAGCAAAAGGCAGCTGGGGGCCCGGAGGGACCCCTGGGGGCAGGCAGGGTTTGGTCTGGAATCTGCTTCTGCTTCATCTTCTGGGGCGGGAAGCTGGGATGTGGCAGTGGACACGATGGGGTCCCTCAGCCCAGAGTAGCTGCTCTAAGCGCCATCACCAGGACCCAGGGCTTGCAGGCAGGTGCGGCAGGTGAGGAGGGCCTGGCCAGGTGGCTGGGGCGTCTCCTGTAGCTTCTGGAAGCCTCGGTGGTGGCTGATTGTCCTGGGTTTAGTGGTCTAGTGGGCCCGTGTGCGGAAGGGACTTAACCTTGAGCCTGGTCCTCTGAAGCCACCACACACATACACACATCTCCGCACCCCACCCCCCCACCCCCGCCAGGCCTTAGCGAGGGACAAGCCAGGTTCCCTGTGATGTGTGGGCCGAGCAGATGGAATAGTGACAGTTCATTTGAAGGGGCCGAAGGAGTGGGCCAGAGCAGTAGCAGGGCAGGAAAGGCACTGTCCGACATGGGTTCAATCCCCAGCACCCCACATGCTCCCCTGAGCTCTTCCAGGAGTGATCCCTGAGTCAGGAGTCAGCCCTGAGCATTGCCAGGTGTGGTTAAAAATTAAAAAAAAAAAAAGCCAGTTGGGCTCCTGCAGGAGTCACAAGCCTCTTGGCCATTTAGAACCTGGTCAGAAAAAGGTTAATTTTTTCAAAGTTCTTTTTGTTTTGTTCCCCTCAAGAGGAGCTGCCAATGGTTAATTTTTACACAAAAGAGTAAAGACTTTAAGCATGCCTCCAGCTGGGTCCCAACTTGGCGACGCCCACGGACATGGCTCGTGGGAATGCCGATCCCTCAGGGCTCTGCAGAGTCCAAAGATGAGACCGGTGTGCCTCCATGCTCAAGGTCAAGGCCTGCTGGGGTCCTCCCGCCAGGCCACTGGGCGGGACGGAGGGTTTGCACTAGGCAATGGGCAGCTGCTCTTGGCCTCCTTGACCAGATGTTGGTCAGTAACATGGCAGCGTTCTGCCTCTTGGTTGGGGTCTCTCAAGCTCAGGCAATGTGGGAATCCCCCAACAGTGAACAGAAAGATGCTCAGTGACCCCTAAGAGTGTCTCGGCCTCCTGGATTGAGTCTCAGCCCCCAGAGAGTCTCAGGCCCCAGAGTGTGTCAGGCCCGGAGTGTCTCAGGCCAAGAATGTCTCAGGCCTCAGAGTATGTCAGGCCCGGAGTATCTCAGGCCCGAGTGTCTCAGGCCCAGAATGTCTCAGGCCTCAGAGTGTGTCAGGCCCCAAGTGTCTCAGCCCCTGAGTGTTTCAGGCCTCGAGTGTGTCAGGCCCAGAGTGTGACAGGCCTGGGGTGTCTCAGCCCTCAGAGAGTCTCAGGCCCCAGAGTGAATCTCAGCAGGCCTGGGGGATGGGGACTCCCCCACATTGTACTGTGAAATGAGGGTGAGAACCATCATGTTGATGCTGTCAGCGAGGGCTGAGCTGCAAGCTTCGCGTTGGCGTCTTTCTCCCCAATTGTCGCTAGGTCAGCCATGTCACCAGAGACGGCCAGTGCCACATGCAGATGGCCCATGGGGCTCCCTGTGGATGGACCCAGCTCTGCTGCACGGCTGGGTCTCTGAGCTGAGCCTGGGGTTCCCCCCACCCCGCTGTGCTGTGTGAAGGGGCGGGTTCCCCAAGAGGGGCTTCTGCGTGGGGCTTATTCTCGAAGGTGGACCTGGGCGCAGTGTCCAGCCCCCGTGAGTCACTCCCGGGGCCCCAGCGTAGCCACCCACGGTGCCTCCCGTCGGAGTAGCCAGGGGTCCTGGCTTCCCCGCAGGTGCAGGGACACAGGCGCATTGGGAGCTGTTGGGGTGGGGGGCACTCGGTCAGTCCTGCCCGGCCCCCGCAGGCCTGATGCCGTTAGCGTCAGCCTCAGTGTTTCACCTCTGCCTTGGATGGTCCCCCCCAACTGCGCTGTGTTGTTTATTCTCCTTGTCAGGCTTTGGGGTGACTTATGCACCAAGACGGCCGCTGTTGGATAAAAATAGCACCTCTTAGCTCGGAAGGAGCCTCCGTGCGGGACCTTAGCCTCGGGGGCGGGAGGGGTGGAGGCCCGTCCAGCGTCGGGGTGGGGCTGCCTTCCCCAGCTGTGGGGGCTCCCCCTGGCCCTGCCTTCCCCGTTGCTGGCCTCCCCGAGCACCGGGTCTGCACTGGCCCGTTTCTGTGCTAAGTCACCCCCCCACCCACCCCCCGTGCCAGGCCTGCACCACCCCTCAGAGTGTGCGTGCCCGGCGGGGCGCCTTCCCTGGCAGAAAGAGGCTCCAGTCTGCCTTGCTGAGGCCTGGCAGGGGTGAGGAGTGGCCCCGGGTGGTCCCGAGTGGCTGCCTTCAATTCCTCCTCTGAGTCCCACCCCAGGGACCTGCAGAGGCGAGGATGGCGCCTCTCCTCGGGGGGTGCCTGGTGACTCCCCCGCCCCTGCTGTGGACTGTCCTCACCGCCTGGCAGCACTGTGTGTGGCTGTGTGTCCTCCCCACGCCCCCTCACCCACAGCCGTGGGCCCACACCGAGGCTCCAGGCTGTCCTGATTGTCTGGGGAAACCACCCCCCCCCAAAAAAAAACTTTGTCACGTCCGGGGGGTGGGGGGAGAGGGAGGGGGAAGGTGTGTGTGTCCACCCCGCACCCCTGTCTGTGTGGGGAGGAGCCGGGCGGGTGGGGGCGGGGGCGGGGCTGGCTGAGCCTGACATTTCACCTCTGACCCCACCTTCTCCGACCCCTCCCGCAGGCTCTGTGCACGCCACGTCGGTCGCGGCCTCCAGAGTGGAGCAGGCGCTGTCTGAAGTGGCCTCCTCCCTGCAGAGCAGCGCCCCTAAGCAGGGCCCACTGCACCCCTGGATGACGCTGGCACAGATCTGGCTCCATGCAGGTACCATGGCCCCAAGTTCCAGCCCCCTCTCCCCCACCCAGCTCCCCTGGGGAGGGACCCTCCTGGCCATCGCAGCTCTCTGGGGTGGGGGATGGGGGGCGATTCTGGGTCCCTAGCCCAGTGCCAGACCCAGCGTGGGCCACGGGGAGGGACTGAGGGGAGATCAGGGTCCCGGGTGGTGGTGGTAGGGGGGTGCAAGGGAGTGGCAGGGCTGTGCCACCATGGGCGTGACACCATCCCCAGGAGAGGGCCCCACAGGGCACACCCACTCAGGAGCCAGAACCCCTGCATGCCAGGGCCGCAGTTTCCTCATCTGTACTGTGGAATGATGGGAGGCAGGGAGTGGGGGTGGGTGGGGTGCCCTCCCTCACCAAGTACCTGCCCCCTCCCGCCTTGCAGAGGGCTGCCCGCAGTTTGGACAGCCCCGGTCCCCTCTCGAGGGGAGGGTGGAGGTGGGGGACCCAGCACAGAGCTGGCTGGTGGCTGTCCACCCGCCTCTGGTCTCCCACGTCCTGGATGGCATGCCACTTCCGTGCCTCAGGTTCCATCACTGGATCTGCAAGACCCCCCTGCCCCCGTCCCCTGGGATTCTCAGGGTATGCGGGGAAGGCCTGAGCTTGGCTGGTGAGTGCCCGCCCGTGTGGTCCATCTGTTTACTCCTCCCCTGCCAGGGCTAATTACACCGTGTCCGCCGTGTTTGGAACGGCTGCGGATCTCTGCAGCCCTGCCTGGCGTACCTGGCCCTGGCAGGCCTTGGAGTCCGACCCCCCAGCTTTCTCTGTGTTGGCATCCTTAATTGAGCTAGAAACACCACCGTAAATTAGCAAATTACATTCTTCCCAGCACAAGTACAAAGGAGCGGTGATTCACGGAGCTGCTGGCAGTTCTGCGAGGCGCAGTCACCCGCCAGCCCCTGGCCTCTCGTGGGGTCCTAGCGAGCTGCCTCTGAGGGCCCTGGGATCCCCAGGGATGCCCCACACAGCCCCTCCCCCCAACACACAACAAACTCCCTTACTCAGGGCCAGGTCCCCACATCGTCACTGTGTGTGCATATGTGTGCATCCCCATGCAGGCATGTGTGTGCGTGTATTAGGGGGGACTCCCAGGCAGTGCTTGGGGGGCCTAGGAGCCCTGCCCAGTTCTGTTCCACCAGCAGTTCCGTGTGCGGCCCTTAAGGCAGTGCGGGGTGGGTGCTACAGAGAAGCCAGGGATGGGCTCAAAGCCTGGTGCCCCCCACACCTGCCAGCCACCTCCCGGCCCCTCCTGTTAGTCTTGATCAAGTTAATGACTGGGGGAGGGGGCAGGGGGCTCTCTAATTTTCAGGATCACTTTGCTCTGTAACTTGTTGTCACTCACTCATTTATCTGGGGACTCTGTTCCTTGCGGCCTGTGTTGGCACGGGGGTGCGGAAACTGTCGCCTATTATCCGAGCATGGGGACAAGTCTGGGATGGAGTTGTCCATCGGGGTTGGGGATCTGGGATGGGAATCTGGGAAGGATCTGGGATGGAGTTGTCCATCGGGGACGGGGACCTGGGGTGGAGTTCTGGGATGGGGATCTGGGATGGATCTGGGATCTGGGATGGGAATTTGTGATCTGGGGTGGGGATCTGGGATGGGAATCTGGGATGGATCTGGGATGGAGTTGTCCATCGGGGATGGGGATCTGGGATGGATCTGAGATCTGGGATGGGAATTTGTGATCTGGGGTGGGGATCTGGGATGGGAATCTGGGATGGATCTGGGATGGAGTTGTCCATTGGGGATGGGGATGGGAATCTGGGATGGATCTGGGATGGAGTTGTCCATCAGGGACGGGGACCTGGGGTGGGGTTCTGGGATGGGGATCTTGGATCTGGAGTGGGGATCTGGGATCTGGGGTGGGGATCTGGGATGGATCTGGGATCTGAGATGGAGCTGTCCATTGGGGATGGGGATCTGGGATGGATCTGGGATTGAGTTGTCCATCGGGGATGGGGATCTGTGGTGGGGATCTGGGATGGGGATCTGGAATCTGGAGTGGGGATCTGGGATCTGGAGTGGGGATCTGGGGTAGGGCTCTGGGGTGGATCTGGGATGGACCTGGGATATAGGACAGAGTTGTCCATCAGGGATGGGGATCTAGGATGGGATCCAGGATGGATCTGGGATGGATCTAGGAACTGGGATGGAGTTGTCCATCTGGGGCTGGGATGGAGCTCCAGGACCCCTCATTTGGGACCCAAACTGACTGGAGCCCATGCACATCTCATGGGCAAATGAGGGTTTCCAACCCCGGCAGGCACTCCCATTATCTAAGGAGGGAGATGCTCAGAGGCCCCCCAGAACTGGATTGTTTGAGTCCATATGACTTTTTTTTTGGCGGGGGGGAGGGGGTCCACACCTATCGGTGCTCAAGGCTCACTGCTGGCTCTGTGCTCAGGGCTCATTCTCGCTCTGTGCTCAGGGCTCACTCCTTGAGTGCTCCCGCTTGAACCAGCAAATCCAGCCCACCTCCCTCTTTGACAGCTTTTACCAGGAGCATCCGCGAGCACCTCTGGCCACATTAGCCGCCAAGTGGCAGGCTGGGGACAGGGCTCAGGGGACCATACAGGGTGCCTGGGATCAAACCTGGGCTGGCCATGTGCAAGGCCAGCGCTCTGCCCACTGTGCTATGGCTCCGGTCCCGTGCGATGCTTTGGTTTCTTTTATTCTTGAATTGATGATACCTGCCTGTGGGGGACAGTGACAGCGGAAAGGCTCCCTCCCTAGCCTCTGACGCCCTCTCCCCCAGCGGCCACGTCCAGGCCATAAAACCTGTGCTTTTAATTTTTTTATTGTGATTTGGGTCTGGGGCCACACGGGGCAATGCTGAGGGCTTATTCCTGGCTCTGTGCTCAGGAATCATTCCTAGCAGGGCTCGGGGTGCCAGGAATCCAACTCAGGCTGGCCATGTGCAAGGCCAGCGCCCTGCCCAACTGTTCTGTCACTTTTTGGCCCGTGACCTGTGCGGGCTTTTTAGACGGCCCAGAGAGAACCAGCCGGGAACCTGCCCACGCCACTCTGTTCCCTCACTGGGGAGGAATTAAAATCACGGTTGTAATCATGATTTTGCACTGTAGCATTGTCACTGTCATAGCATTGTTCATCCTGATTCGCTCAAGTGGGCACCAGTAACGTCTCCATTGTGAGACTTGTTGTTACTGTTTTTGGCATATGGAATACGTCATAGGGAGCTTGACAGGCTCTGTCGTGTGGGCGGGATACTCTTGGTAGCTTGCCGGGCTCTCCGAGAGGGATGGAGAAATCGAACCTGAGTCGGCCACATGCAAAGCAAATGCCCTGCCCGCTGTGCTGTTGCTCCAGTGATTATAATCAGCAGTTATAATCATGATTATAATGATAATAATCCCTGACTCGGATTATCCAGGACATGCTACAGTGAGCAGTAGTGAAGGGAAACGCCATGCGGGGTGAATGGCCAAAGGTTGCGCCCTTCAACGCAGGCCCACACAGACATGTTGCTCTCCATCCGTTCGGTCTGATTGCTCCACTGCGCTGTGAATGTCCACTTTCTCACCTTGTCGCCAGTGCAGCAAAGGGCCAGACTTGGACATCTGCCTCCAGGTCAGAGATGAGAGATAGTATCTCAGTGGTCTGCCCACGGCTTCTTCCCTTCCCCATCTTCTGTCCCCTCAGCTTGGCGTTTGAGCTGATCAGTGCTCATCACAGGCCCCGGCAGCTGGTGTGTGTCTGTGAGATGGGTCATGTTTTCTTCCCCCCATTTTAATTTTGTTTGTGACTTTAGACTTGGGCCTGCTCGAGCAAATCGATAAACAACGGGAGGACAGTGCTACAGTGCTTTAGGCCTTTTTTTAGTTACTTGATAAAATACCTCTTATCAGTCCTGTTTTTATGGTGTGCAGGACTTCATCCAAGGCCACCTTCTGTTTATTTTTTTTCTTTATTTTTTTTGATTGAGTCACAGTGAGATCCACAGTTACAAAGTTGTTCGTTACTAGGTTTCAGTGATACAATGTTGCAACACCCATACTTTCACCGGTGTACGTTTTCCACCACCAATGTTCCCATTTCCCTCCCACTCCCCACCCTCTATGGCAGACACTTTTCCTCCCTCCCTCCCTCCCTCCCTCCCTCTCTCCTTCTCTCTTTCTCTCTCTCTCTCTCTCGCTCTCTCGCTCTCTCGCTCTCGCTCTCTCTCTCTCTCTCTCTCCCTCTCCCCCCCCCCCTTTGGGCTGTCATCTGTCTCTACTGTCTGTTTTCCTGCAGGTTCAGGCCCTCCCCAGCGCCATTTGTGCCTGGTTCCCACAGTTCAGAGAGGCTTATGCCTCCGCGTGCAGGAAGGAAGCCCAGACAGATGGAAGGAAACGCGTTTGCAGCGTCCCTGGGCAGCTGCATCCGAGCGCTGGTGTTGATCGCAGGTCTCCCCGGGAGCCGGGCAGAGGCCCCTCCAGACCGCGGGTCACTGCGCGGCCTTCCCCAGACCCGAGGGCTTCGCGGGGCCCATTTCAGCCTGCACACTGCCTGGCAGCTAAAAATGACTTTGCAGTAGGTGGTTAATTTCTGCTTGTTACTTACTAATAATTATAGCTTTCACTTTGGCACCTCTCACAGTCGAAACCAACCGCTATTTTTAGATGTGCAAGATCAGATTTTCTGATTTCTGCTGGGAATTTGAAGCTGTGATACTTTCCAAAGTCCTTGGCCTAGCCCTGGCCTGGCCCTCCCGCCCTTGGTCCTTCCAGGGTCCGGCCCAGCCTCCTGGCCATGATCGAGGGCGTCAGGGTGGCCTGCCGCCTGGCCAAAGACAAAAGTCAGGCAGTGAGGGGATTGCTGGGGGGCTGGGGGGGCGACCGGGACAGTCAGGGCTGAGGTCGGGTGCCCCCATCCTTGGTCACTGCACGCATCAGGTCGCCAGCCTTACCCCATCTCCTGCCCAGGAGCTTTGACCAAAACTCCACGCCTTGCGGGTAGCTGATGCTTTTCTCTTCCCTACCCCCC